ATTTGTTTTTCTAAATTAAGCAAATGATGAGAAACTCTAGAAAAAATGTGGAACAAATATCGATTTTCTGAGCATGTTTTTTTAATCTTATTTTATCCTCAAAGCTTACATCAGTCAAAAGCAAGGCTCAAAGGTTTTTCATTTAATCAAGAAGAGAGAGTCTTTTCTTTCGATCTTCCGAAAAGATTTTTCCCACAATTGGCAGTAATATCGCAATCTGATTGGCCAATTTTCTCGATTTTCAATTTGGCGTTGTGCTAAGGAGGACATACAACGCGGCTCGCGTCAACGTGTCACCCACTGAGAGAATCGTTTTATTTGACGTAGATATTGTGGTAAAAAACGAATCGACAGTGGTCCGTGGCTGCGTCTCGTGAGTCGACAACATTTTGACCTCTGGGATGACGAAGATCGTTGTCGACCTCCAAGAACTGAGTAGCATATCAAACAATTTGGAACAAAGGTGTTCTATCGAACTAAGTGAACCTTAAACCCATCGAAAATCTTAAATAAATGTGTAGAAAAAATCATCAAGTACTTTTTACTGTGATTGATAAAAGAACTTGAACAAAGTCACCTCATTAAAATTCACCTGTTCTTATAACTGAATGATGGCAACAGGAAAACTATTTACACGATTCAGCAAATGTCCTACACCAAAAGCAACGATCACAGAGTTCCTTTTGACTTCGGCAAATAAACTTGAAATTACATGGTTATTTAACAAGTTAAATTGTTGCTATCAAAGGTAATCTGGAAAAAAGAATGATCGACTTTACACTCACAAAAATTCCCGAGTATTTCTCTAGTAAAATTTTTATAAGCAACAGACAAAAAGCAATAGTAATGTGTCACTAAACAAGGGAATCAATGTCAGAATCAGAGCAAATGCGGACTCGTAGCGGACTTGGCGAAATAGTCCGGATAATCGAGAATATGAATATTAACGAGGAATAAAAACTGATAAATTAAGAAAGCGACATTTACTCCTGAAATAAAACAATTACAAATCGTTTTGAAAAAGAATGTTCTACATCTCCACTGTCCTACGTGAATACCTCTACATGTGTGTATTAACAATTGAAATTAACAAAAAATGTTTTTTTTATCGGCCTAAAATGTTGTAGTAAGTCGATTTGTCTTAAAGAAGAACATCACCTTTACTTCACTTTTAAACGCTGTAGTTTTTAAAAAGAATATGGCTACGGATCTTGATCATGACTAATAAACATTTATGAAAAAATTGGGACCAGAGAAAAAGTCCGGATAATCGAGGTTCAACTGCAATTGGCTTAGGAGAGGAGTGGGTGTGCAGTTGCTCAATGTATAATGACGTTAATCAAAACAATCAGTGCTGTACATCACTGCCAGTCACGGTAATCAGACAAAGATCGAAGACATCGATTGAACAAAATATATGATTTTTGTTTGTTTGTAATTTCCTTATTTTTTTTCTTTGATTGGTTTTGAATTGTAATCATTTACAGAACCAGGTTAAGGTATCTAGCATAGTTCTTACCTGACATGAGTTAAATTCGTAGAAAAAAAAACAAACCAACCTTTCTAGATGTTATTCTTTTCATTTTCTTCCCTTGCATTCGTTGATTTCAAATTTTTTCCATTACATTCTTGATGCTGTCATAGAGAGGGAAAAAATATGATGAGAATACATTCATACCGATTTCTAGATAGGTACTTGTTGTAAACTGAATAAATAAGAATCAATATTTGGAGAGCGAAAGAAGAACTTTTTTGGAGATGAGGACCAGTTTGTAGAGAAAAAAATTTGCCATCATAAACGAGTTCATAAAAGATACCAGTCTAAAACAGACAGAAGCTTTTCCTTTCCAAAAGAGTTCTCTACGGCAAAATTTTTGATAATAAGCATATTTATTATCCAGTGATGCCTCGTAGAGTACAAATAACGCGCGAGACGAGTACAAATATCACGTGATATTTGTACTCCAGAAATATCCGCGAAATTTGCCCACACTGAAATAACAATTTGGCGTGTTGGATAATAAATCTCTCAATTGACGTTTTGTTGTGTAGCATCGCTAAATATTTTTACTCGTTGTTTGTATTTTGAATCGCCCTACGGGCTCGTCAAAATACGGCACAACTCGTAAAAATACTCAGCAATGCCACACAACAAAACGTCTAATAAGATATATATATTCTCTAGCGAAAAAAGATGGGGAAAAGCGAAGTGATAAAAGCGTTAGAATAGATCCAATATTAACATATTATAAACGTAAACATTTCTAAATAGTTTGAAATTAAGTAAAGAGATGAAAAAAATATGAATAAGCAAATGAGCGATCTGCACTCTAACACTGAATAAAATATCGATTTTATGCCACTGCCCTAAAGGTCAAATAGTTCAACAATAATTAACAAATGGTAAACACCACAGCGTACACTATTGAGTTATGGATGCACGCGGGAGGTTGCTAAGCACGAAAGAAGCGTAAGAGTCGCTCGAGGCGATAGCCGAGAGCGACTCTAGCTTCTTGAGTGCTTAGCAAACCTCCCAAGTGCATCCATAACTCAATAGTGTACGCTGTGGTGTTTACCATTTGTTTTATAACATAACATTGATACATTGTAGCTAAAGAGTTCCCTTTTATTTAACAAATCTTACG